TGACATGGCTGGGGTTCAAATACAATCTGAACTTGTTATCTCTTTCACGTCAATAAACATTCATGTGTGAATAAACATTCATGTGTGTGTGTGTATGTGTGTGTGTGTGTGTGTGTGTGTGTGTGTGTGTGTGTGTGTGTATGTGTGTATGTATATGGTCTGTGCTTAATGGAATCTGCACTCATTATGTCTATCCCTAGGGACAGACTGGAGATTTTTTTCATTCACATGCTAGAATACATTACACTTTGCTTGTAACTGAACACACTAAGTGTCCAACAACCCAAAGGACATCTGCAATAAATATAACGTATTATGATTTGTAAATATTATCAGGTTTTTCTGCCGCCCCTATGGAAGTCTGTCAGAGTCCAACTCTGACCTGTTGAAGGGTTCCTGGGGGAGGAGAGAGGGATGAGGAAGTGTTAGATAAAAATATAGAAGGAGACAATAAGACAGAGACACAGGATGGCTTCGGGAGGGCCCTGGGTCAATACCCAGTCACCTTGAGGTTCAATCCCAAGGGCTTTTTATAAAATGCCAAGGGGAGAGGCAGATGTCACCACTGGGGCCTCCCCCCAGAGAGGGGGCTGCTGTTGGGTCAGTGGTAGCCGTAATAGGGCCAGAGGCTGTGGAAGGTAGGAACGGCTCCAAGAGCAGTGGGTATTATCGGGTCCACAGTGGGAGCTGGAGAAAACTTAGGAGGAATGGGTTCGGCACACTCACCAAGGTTCCAGAGTTGCAAGCCACATCTTCCCGCTTCCCCACCCCTGCCCCATCCCTCAGCCCCGAACCCCCCACCCCATTTGTAAAACAAGCTGCAGCTGGGGTGCAGACTTTGACGCTCTGCACATGTTCTCTGCTCTCCCAGTGCACAAGTTCATGATCGCGCTGCTGGAAGCCAAGCATCAGGACATTTGCTTTGCCGCCTGTGGGGTTCTCCTAAACCTCACCGTGGATAAAGACAAGCGTGCCATTCTGAAAGAAGGTGGAGGCATTAAAAAGTAAGTAAGGCAAGAACTCCCAACTCTCAGTACACTGGAGGTTGGGCCCTTCGACCATTCCACTAGAGGAGCAGGGGTCCAGAGGGGGGTGAGAATCTACTGGACACTTAACCACAATCCAGAGGTGCATGAGTGAAAACTCTGTAGTCGGTTAAATGTGTAGCTACGAACTTAGAGGATGATTATGTGGAGTTCAGAAGACTAGCCATCGTACCAACGATAGAAAACGTCAAGACAGATTCTGATCTGCTGACGCCTTCGCTTTGGCATTCCTCGCCCAGGTTAGTGGACTGCTTAAGAGAGTTTGGTCCCGGCGACTGGCAGCTGGCCTGTCTGGTGTGCAAGACCCTGTGGAACTTCAGCGAGAATATCACAAGCGCATCACTGTGTTTTGGAGATGAAGATGCCAACAGGCTCCTGGTCCTCCTGTCGTCGTTTTTAGGTAAGGGCCCTTGCTGTGGATCTGTGACCTTCACCCAACAAGCAAGAAAACTGTGTTCTCTGACCTGGCGGGGTAATGCCAAAGGAAACTCTTGCAGATAGTTTCTGGAAGAGACGGAGAACTAGTTCCAGTCCGAGCAGAAGGATTCCTAACTGCCCGGAACTGCAACGGTCAGTTTCTCCTGTGGCCTCCCCCTTCTTCTTCTTCTTTGATTCATAAATATCAGCAGCCTTGTGCTGTGCCTCTGCTGTTAAAGGCATATAGACTCTGTCATAACTGAGAAACTACGGTTAAAAGCTATTTTGAATTAAGTCAACATTTCCAGTTGACTATATTTTAATTAGTGGTGTTCATGATCACGTGGGGAAGGGTCTGTGAAATTATATGACATTACAGTGGGGTCCCCATGCTTGAAAGGTAGGAAAGCCTATAAACTGAAGATCACTTCCTACTTTAACTTTTTTCTACTTTTAGCATTTTTTTTCCAACCTGGTGTTTGTCTAAAAACAATAATTTAGGTAAGTTAATGAGTGAATGATTTTTACAAATTCTATTCCCTACTTAAAGGCGAGGGTCCATGGTGATCCAGTTAGGATGGGCTGTGTGGAAAGGCTCAGTGCAACTCAGAATCCAGGGCCTGAATTCTTCCAGATTGTATTTGTGGTGTTCTTTGAATAGTGTGTCTCTTTTCTGTTGCCTACCTTTCTGTTTTTAAAGTGGGAGTGTGACGAACCCCACGTAGTCCCAGGAAGTTAACTGTGAGGCTTAGACAAGCATCACACAGAAACAGAAGACCCACAGTGTTCAAGTCCAACATCTCCACATTCCAGGCCCTTGCTTCATCCCTCATAAGCTGTTAAAGCTTAGGTTTAGCCTCTCATCTTAGTCACTGGACCGTCGCTGTGAAGAGAGAGATGCCATGACCACAGCAACTCTTACATACGAAAGCATTTAACTGGGGCTGGCTTACAGTTTCAGAGGCTTAGTCCATTATCCTCATGGCGGGGAGCAGGGCAATAGGCAGGTATGGCGCTGGAGAAGCAGAGTTCTACATGCAGATCCTCAGGCAGCAGGAGAGAGAGACTGGGCCCTGGCGCAGACTTTTGAAACCTCAAAGCCTGCCCCTAGTGACAGACTTCCTCCCACGAAGCCATACCTCCTAATCCCTGTCAACTAGCGCCATGTCCTAATGACCAAGCATTCAACTATGAGCCTTGGGGGCCATTCCTGTTCACACCACCATTCCTCTTTCAGCTTAAGTTTTTAATCCCCTCTGAGCGCAGGTTGATCGATGGCTACTCTTCAGGGCACCTAGGGATAACTGTGCACTTACACCAAGAGTTTAGTACTGTGCCTGATACCAGGCAAGACCTCAAGCAGGGCTAATGTGCTTTGTGGATGCTAAGGGATGCAGCAGGAGATCACTGGACCGGAACAGAAGCTCAGAAATTCCTTGAAAGAATCCGATCTATTTGGCTATGAATGGAGTTTGTCAAGAAGGTATATGATACTTGTGTGTACGTGTGTTAAAATTCTGGCCAAGAAAAAGAATGGACCTAGTTGTAAATGACTGAAGTTCTCGGCGTCCTTGTGAACTGGGAGGTTTCTCTGGTGGCAGGAAGCAGGGATGCTTACACAGGTTATCTGAGTTCAGTTGCCATGGGGCCTGAGCTCGGAAATCAGGACAGCCAGCCTGGCACAGCCTTAGCGGTTCTTATTTCAGGGGCTCTAGGGCCAGCCTGGGAATCCATGAGAATGAGGTGCAGAGCCAGAGTTGGGGACCTCTGCTGTAGTTCGTGAAGACATTCAGGGAAGGGTGTGGAGGAAGGGAAACCAGATAGTGCAGTGTCCCCGGGGGCTGCTTGGGATCCATCAGCCTCAAGGATTGGTTCAGGAGCAGGCGTCCTCAGCCCCGCTCTGGGTCCACCGTTCAGGGGCCCCAGCTCTGCCTCGGCTAGCTCCCCTGTTCCTCCTCACCCGTCTCATTCCACGCTTGCTCATGTATCCCGCTACCTCGTGTTTCCACTCTCCACACCCAGTGTTCGTGGCTGCCTCTCTCTGGCTGTTGGCACTCTTCCCATCTTCCATTCAGGGAGAAGACCTGGCTGGCTCAGGGAGCCGCTCCCCAGGAGTCTGAGGCTTTGGCGTGTGTCAGATTTTGTGTGTCTGAAAGGCCATCATTGTCCAAGCTTGGGGCAGTCAGCTCTGGATAACAAGGGTGTCAGGGGCCACACCACCTGTCAGGAGCAGCCAGGAAAGCTGTGGGCAGGGCTGGCTCCCGAGCAGGGCAGAATCCCCAGGAGGCATTTGGTTGTAGCCGGTCTGTTGCCTTCTGCCCCATTGCCAAGTTTCCCACCTGGCTCCTCCAGCCCTCGGTGTGCCCACATGCCGTGCACTCCCTTGCGGGTTTCACAGCTTTTGAAGCCCCCCCCCCCCATGGTCTGATCACAGAAATCCTAGGCTGCTGAGACAGCAGTCACTCATAATGCACGACCTGTGTGATTTCTCCTTTGGGATGGTTTTGTAAGCTTTATTTCTCGGCTCCCACTGAGTCCCTGGAAGGAAATCACATTTCATCCCGAGTGGTGCCTTGTGAAAGCTGTGATTGGCTACAAGGGGTGCCAGCTACCTTTGTGTTAAGAGTCCTTTTCCTTTAGGATCTTTACATTATGATGTAGCAACAGGCCATTTGGTTGTCCAGACTAACCGAGAGCCTGCCGTCTCCCAGCCTCTGTTGTGTCAGCGTGTCTGTACTTTGTTATTTTCTTTCTAAGTTCATTCTATACTCCCTGTATGTGTTTGGGGTCCTTAACTAGGTGCTTTCACTTAGTAGCAAGTGAGTCTAGAAAGGCAACATGACTTGCCGAAAGTGATGCTGTTACAGAAGCTGGGGCTTGTCTTCAAAGGATCAACATCTGTACTGTGTTTTCCTCTGTTATGTGCCTAGCACTCAAGCAGTCTCCCCCAGGACCGTTGCGGTGTGGGCAGTTAAACCAGCTCAGTTTGACCAGGGAGCTGGCTCACAGGACACCTGAGCCTGTCATGATAGAGTGTGGAGATTAGAAGACAGTTGGGGCATAGTTCTTTCCTCCCATTGTATGGGTTCTGGGGGTCACACTTAGGTTGCCAAACTTGGCAGGAGACCCCTTAACCTGCTGGGCCAGCCTGCTTGCCCTATACTCAGTTGTGGTATGCTCACCCCAAGGTGCATGGCTCTTGGCATCAGGTTTTGTGACAAGGGACAGTGGGACTCAGCATTCCAGTTGGAGAATCACAGCATGAGGACAATATCAAAGTGCCACCAGGTGCTCCTGGAGCAGCTGAGGACTGTTCCCTAAAAGAGGATGACTGAGAGACATGAGACCTCTCCACCAGTGACTTGTGCTGCATAGGAAGCTAAGAGCCAGTACACTGCTCGAGGGAAGCTTCACTGGGCACTGGAGCACAAGATACTGGGCACTGCGGCACTGGAGCGCTGCTTCACTGGGCACTGGAGCACTGCTTCACTGGGCACCGCAGCACTGGAGCACTGCTTCACTGGGCACCGCAGCACTGGAGCACTGCTTCACTGGGCACC